TCCCCAACAATAAAAATACAGCAAAGGAATATTTACATAATAGGATCTTAATCTTTAAATCACTGTGCATGGTTTGACCCCTTGTTACATGTTTTTCAGATGTTCAGTCATCTGCGTCTCTCATGGTGAGTCCAGACAGAGTTCAACACTTCACCTCTGACTCTGTGTCACTGAACTGTGAAGGAAACTCTACTGAGTGGAGAGTGAAGTTAACTGAATCTGGCAACATATTATTCTGCCAAAACTGGGGGACAATGACTGGATCCACATGCAGCATAGAGCGTTACCGGTCCAGTAATGCAGTGTACTGGTGTGAGTCTGGATCAGGAGAGTTCAGCAACGCAGTCAACATCACTATATCAAGTATGGTTCTGATACATTTTCTTTTAAGTAATTTAAACATCCCATTATCCAGCTTTTACGAATGATGGCCAAATGAAGCCTCGTGAACCAATTTCTTTATTTTCTGACCCCACCAGATGGCGCCCTTGGTTTAAAGATAAAGGCTGAAGGACTGGCAATGAAGTGTGCTTTCAAACCTTTGTTGAACAGTCAGTGCCATCTGGTGTCTTCAGAAAATAAAGACAGTGGTTCATGAGGCCTCATTTAGCCATCACTAGCTTTTACTATAGTCATATGTCATGTACCTATTTTCAGCACAAAATGATTTGTCATCAGATATTTGGTGAACAGTGTTGCTAATCAACATCATCAGGAAATGACTGAGAAAAATATGAAATACAAAAATGCCAAAATACACTGTAGGGGGAGTTTTCATGTTAATGAATGACACCTGTTGTTTAACCTCATTCTGTGTCTGTATTACAGGTAACCATATTATCCTGGTGAGCCCTGTCCATCCTGTGACCGAAGGAGATTCTGTTAGTCTTATCTGCAGAATAAAAAGAAAAACATTTGCTTCCAAGGTGTTTTTCTATCAAAATGGCAAACTCATTCAAAATGATACCAGAAGGGAGCTAAATATCTCTGCAGTGTCAAAGTCAGATGAAGGCTTTTACAAGTGTGAATACTCACAAAAAGTGTCAGCACAGAGTTGGATGTCAGTTAAGGGTGAGTAGGATTGAAACGTGCTGCACTTTTATGTCAAATGTCAATACTTTGAGTCAGCATTAGTTTCAGCTGATTCCACCTGTTGGATTCAGTTCTTTTTGAGCTGAAGAAAGTCTGCATCAATTGTGATAGTTTTCAGTTACTGTGAATGTCTAAGTTCACACTGTATTCTGGTATGTTCCTTGGATGTATAGTGCTGTAAGTGTTTATCTGTAAATCAAAATATGAGTGACATTGACATTAATGTTGTGTGTGTACGTGCATGTGTGTTGTTTATACCTCTCGATTGTATGTTTAGTCTTTACTTTGGCGCCATGTGACATGACTCATCTTTATGAAAATGTATGTAAATTCAGAAGCTGCTGTTTACATTTATTAACAGTTTTTATTTATTACAGGAGTCTCCAGGCCTGAAAGCTCTTCATCTCCTGTACTGATGATTATTGGGCTGGTTTTTGGAATTGTACTTGTTATTCTTCTGCTCCTTTTGTATCGCTACAGACGGTCCAAAGGTGAGACCTTTATTAAATTAATCATTAAATTATTATATTATTTATTGTTCAAATGCACAGATGTATTCTGACCCAACCCAGTAGCCAGAAGAAAATATTGGTATTGTACATCCCTGCAAACCATGGATATGTTACGTTTGTATGTTTGATGACTCATATCAACATTTCTCAAGTGACTGTGTATGTGAACTGGCTTTGTCATTGGGAGGTAGAAGGAATGGTGGATGGTGTGATACCTAAGCAAGATGGCTGCCAAGCTGAGGACCTCTGTTGGAGATGAACGAACAACAATGGTTGTTTGTTTGCGACTGGTGGCTATGTTTCGAGCAGCGTTCATGCCACTAAATGTGGGTGTTTTTTGGCAACCCAAGGCCATGTTTCCAGCTGCTTTTGTGCCACCGAACATGGGTAATTTAAGCCAAACCCGATCTTTTCTTACCGTACCCTAGTGGGTTGTGTGCCTGAACAAAACCACACATCAACCACAGCATTGTAAGATGCGTAAAGTTTTAATGTATCTGCTACATAATAACATACAGATGTAATGTGTGGTTTTCAGAAACATACAATGCCAACGTATTTTCTTGCGATTGGGTTGTCTGATCTCATGACAGAATGGCAGTATGACAACTTAAAATACAAAACCATCTAACGACAAATGTCTTTATTTACAGATTCATGCTTTATCAGGTTGGTGCAACATTATCTTATTTTGATTATAACAGGAAATACATGCCATGTTCCTCTGTAAATTTATTATCTGCATGTTGTAGGCCAGTCCAGTCTGAGAGCACCAATCGAGGCTCTGCTACAGGTCACATGGTCAACCAGAATGAGGCTCAACAGAATGACGATCCCTCTCCTCTCCGTGGTAAGGACACATCTTGATTTGACACACACGTTTTGAAGAAACATTTTAAAAACATCTCAGGATGTTTAATTATGGCATCATGTAATTAAAATAGTACTAAATAGTAACTTGACTTCAACTTGATTTTCACTGCTCTGTAGGTGACTCTCATCTCTATGAACCAGTTAAAGGCTCTGAAGCTCGTCTCTATGAATCAATTAAAGGCTCTGAAGCTCGTCTCTATGAATCAATTCAAGGCTCTGAAGCTCGTCTCTATGAATCAATTCAAGGCTCTGAAGCTCGTCTCTATGAATCAATTAAACGCTCTGAAGACGCTGATAATGGTACAGTGTGTATATATA